TATATACACATTGATAATACATCTGTCCACCACATGTTAAATCACACGCTGTAAATTCTCATGGAGACATTAATGAAGTATTTCAGTAAGTCGGTCAGAACCAGCTTCCTTACAGCTCTCTTCAAAGTGCCTTCTCTCCGGAAGCTTGACCGGGGGCGGCCGCTCGGAGCGGCCCCCCCTGCGCTGCGTCCCTGCGGTCAGAGCGGCGAGCAGCACCGGGCTGGTCCTCAGGTGACCGCGGTGGTGCTTCCTCTCCATCCTCTCCCAGGACTGCCGGGGGTTCCCCTCCACCCTACACCACGTCTCCCTCCGCAGGTTGAGCTCCAGCAGGGCCGGCTCCTCGCAGCCCGACATCACGGGGCTTTAGTTTTATCTGATGAATAATCCAGAGGCCTCGGGTAGTGATGCTGAGGTTTCCATGACGACGGGTAACCTGAAGATACTCTGTGTGCTCAAAGATCTTTCGTGTTTGGTGGGATGCGTCACTCCATCTTAGATTTTAACGCCACAAAAAATAAATAATAAACTTTAAACAATAATCCAACAAAGACTCAGACGAAGGTTATAAAGACAAACCAGGCAACTTTTTTATTACGTTTAAGACCGTAGAAAAAAATAAAGACGGGTGGATACGTCTCCACGTCCTCCCAGAGATAAAGTCAAAATACAAAGAGACAGAAATCTAACAGTTGCCAAAATTGCTCACCTGTTGGTGCCTGAAAACAGACACAGAGTGAGACCTCTTCCCTCTCCACCATCTCTCCTGACAGGGAGGTGATGTGATCCTCCAGAGAACAGCAGAGATGATATCAGTCACTGGAAACTTCTTCATTGATCCTGGAAAAGCTTTGGTTGCTGTGACCTCGCGAGAACAGGATCTGGATCCAGATCTCCACCTGCTGCAGTGGCCACTGGGTCAGAGGATGATTAGGATTAGAGGTTCAGGAGCATATGGACGCACTAATCTGAGTTCATGCACTTAGACCATTTAACAGTCAAATAGTTTATCTGACTGTTTGGATCAGATCTTATGTAAATTATAAATTCTATGTGCTTAAACCGAGACGAAACATTTTATTTTTGCACTCAGTCTGTTACTTAACTCTCTTTAAGTAAAGTTTCCTTATAGATACAAATATATTCCATGATATAATATAACATTAATATGTATTTACTAGACCACATTGAGGTAGTTTACACCACGAACTCAAACTTGAAGTTCTATTCTATTTTTATTACATTTTTCTTTTTTCTCTGTATTAGTATCTTATATTACTGTCGGGTTAATTTAGAAAGGCCTCATTGAATTAATACATTTGGTGATAAGTCTGTAATCAGCTATTACTACCAAACAATATTCTAATATTACAGCAATTCATTTGTGTAAGAGAAGATGTTGTTATCATTATTATATCATAATTATTCTATTATCATTGTTATATTTTAATGAATGCAGATCCTGTTTATGTCGTTGGTCTCATCATGGTTGGTCACACCTCCACCCTGGTTGTAGTACAATATACTACAGGTTACTGCAAGTACTACAATATACTACAGGTTACTACAAGTACTACAATATACTACAGGTTACTACAAGTACTACAATATACTACAGGTTACTACAAGTCCCAGCTCCTCCTCTATTGGTTCATTAGCATCGGAAGGCCCGTGTGTCACAGTGGACTGAACAAAAGAGAGCGAGAGAGACAGAGAGGGGGAGAGAGGAGAGAGAGGGGAGAGAGGGGGGCAGCGCGCAGGCTGAACGGTTCCGTGCAGAAGTTACCGGATCGCGGATCTGATCGTGATGAGCTGGACGCTGTTGTGATTCTTCTCTCTCGGTTCTGGTTTGACTTCATCTCGGTCTCCGGCGGATGAGGAAGCCGCTCTGCGGGGGAGGACGACGAGCGCTCCGAGCATCATGGTGGCCGGGGAGCTGCTGCAGGAGCATGTGCGCGCGGACGCAGGCGCACCGGGCGACGCCGCCACCATCTCCAGGAAGAGTCCGGAGGTCCAGGGCGGCGCCGCGGCCGAGCGACACGCGGGTCCGACAAACGGAGCGCTGAGGGCGGGCGGGGCAGACGCCGACACCGCTCAGGAGGAGGAGGAGGAGGAGAGGGAGTCAGAGGAGAAGGAGAAGGAGGCGCCGCCGCCGGATGAGAGAGACGCGATGCTGCCCAACGGAGGCGCAGGAGAGGCGGCAGCGAAGAGCCGGGAGACGCGGCTGTTCGCGCGCAGGTTCGCGGTGCTCGCCGTGTTCAGCCTGTCCTCGCTGGTGAACGCCTTCCAGTGGATCCAGTACAGCATCATCACCAACGTCTTCACCCGCTTCTACGGGGTGTCCAACGACAAGGTGGACTGGCTCTCCATCGTCTACATGGTCGCCTACGTGCCGCTCATCCTCCCGGCCACCTGGCTGCTGGACCGGAAGGGTCTGCGGCTCACGGCCCTGCTCGGCTCGAGCCTCAACTGCGCCGGCGCCTGGCTCAAGTGCGTCAGCGTCAGCCCGGAGCTGTTCGGAGTCACCGTCACCGCGCAGGTCATCTGCTCCGTGGCCCAGGTGTTCATCCTCGGCCTCCCGTCCCGCATCGCCTCGGTGTGGTTCGGTCCGCGTGAGGTGTCCACCGCGTGCGCCACGGCAGTGCTCGGGAACCAGGTCAGCGCGTGCACGAGCCACAGACAATTCATTGTACACATAATATAAAAAAACACATTGACTTTAGAATCCTCATTGCAGATAAACAGACTAATTCAATGCAAGAATCAAAATAATGAATCATCATCATCGTAGTTATAAGTTTATTCTGATGGCACCTTTCCAGACGAAGTGGTTCACAAAGAGGACAAAGAAAAACTAAACATCAGAGGCAACAAGCTAAATGATAAAAGCATTTAAAACATGGACTTGTCATGTTAACAGTCATGATCGCAAACCTTGTGTCTTACGTGAAACATATTAAGGGTTTACCAGTAATTCACATTATTGAGCGGTTGATAAATGGACTTTGATCCACACAGAGCATTTCCAGAAGACGAGTCCAAAGAGGAGCTCTCCCTGTACCTTTGATTTTCTTTCAAGTAAAGTGCTGGAGGACGATTCCCCACAACCTGGCAACCCATCATTAACGGCTCATTAATAAATCCAATAATAAACCTGGACTGAATGATCCGCCCCCTGATCCGGATCAACACCAACAGCTAATGGATTCTCCTCAAACCTTCACCACATCCATCCACCAAGTTGTGTGGTAATCCGTCCCGTAGTCTTTGTGTAATGCTAGTCGACAAACCAAACAAACCTATGCTGAGTGATGTTCTATAATGTTGTTATCAAACCTTTATTTTAATCTGTAATTTGATAAAACACAGTATAACAACATTTGTCTTCCTCTCTGTGTCTCTGTGTCTCTAGCTGGGAACAGCCATCGGCTTCCTGTTGCCTCCAGTGTTAGTTCCCAACACACCTGACGATGTTGAGCTGACGGGTCACAACATCAGCATCATGTTCTACGGTACCGCCGCTGTCTCCACGGGCCTCTTCATACTCACAGTAATAGGTAGGCTACACACCACGGTCACACAGTGGTGAACACAGACACACAACTCAAATACTGCCTTGCATTATGGCACGTAGACGTTTACCCTCTGCAGCCATCTGTTCCATTTACTTTGTGGTTCAGTTACCTTAAAGCTGTGTGAGGTGACATCACATGGAGGTGTGTGTGTGTGTGTGTGCTCATCTTTATACCCCAGGGGGGACGTGAAGCTGAAAACACACCAACCCGTGGGAACGCGTCTCTCATGGGGACATCAATTTTGCGGTTCAGACTACTTTCTGAAAGTTGACTTAGTTTTAGGGTTCAGGTTACAATTAGGTTGAAGTTAAACTGCAGTTGTGATAGTTATGGTTCAATGTTTTTAACCTTTATTTAACCCGGAAACAACCTGTTGAGATCCTGGCCGACAGGCAGCAACACAACAAAGTACAATAAGTCAATGAGTGGTCCCCATGAAGATAGTAAACAAGAGTGTGTTTGTGTTTGTGGATTTAATCAGGCTAACTTCAGGTTTAACTCAAATATCCCAGTCCTACAAATGTGTTTTTTTTCTGCTCCAGATTTTAATGTGTCAAACAAACGGAGGAAGAGCTTCTCACAAAAATACATCAAAACTATTATAGCTTCAATTTAATTTAAAAAGAATTCTCCAAACAGGTGGATTTGTTACTACTGGTTCAGGAAGCTGGGGATCATGGGTAATGTCCATCGTGTCTCAGTTCAGTGAGTGTGACGACACAGTCGTTAATTCACAACTCATATAAAACTCACATGTTCCAATAAAGAAATTCTTCATGCGAACTCTGCGCTGATTTATACACGTGTGAGGACGACCGGGTAATAAATCCTAAACATTAACCCACATTATCCGAGGTCACATTGTACATGATGTGAAAAACGTTTTGTTCCTGTATGTAAGACTGCACCTCATGGCCCTGAGGGACGCCTGCATCACGAGAGGTCTCTGAACCGGTTTTACAGTGTCGTATAATATTTATACAGTTGTGGTGCTATGATTTTAAAAACGCACCACAAGCAGTATTCAAGAATTCTTCTTTTAATCTGAAAACCGCTCGTTCTGTTGACACCAGTACTGATGCTGCTGTGCTACCAGCGGGTTGTTAAAGGGCATAAAGACATTTGTGGAATTGTTATTATTATCGAAGTTCCCCAGGGAGCCTCCCTGGGTCAACTGGAGGGGGTCATCTGGTTTTCTTATAACCTGGTATTTAGTCATCTGAACAAGTCAAATCAAAACTTTATTGTTTCTTGTGCGTCCTGCAGTGATAAAGGACCGACCCCCCCTCCCGCCCAGCCCGGCCCAGGCTGTTCTACCGGACTCTCCTCCCGAGGACTACTCCTACAAACAGTCCATCCTCAACCTGATAAAGAATAAAGCCTTCGTCCTGCTGCTCATCAGCTACGGTAAACTGATAAAAGCATTTCTGTTCCATCAGATAGTTTTTAGTAGCTATAAAATCCATATCGGTGGGGCTCATATATACCTACAGTTCATATTATACTCATTTTTCTACTTATTATAATTCCTGCTTTTAAAACACATGTGTTGTTTCATATTAAACTCAGTGAGAATCCTTGTGCTCTCTGAGGTTTATAATCCAGAAGTTGTTTCCCCTGAAAGACACTGGGATCACTTCGAGTCTCCAGCATTAAAACTGCCAGAGGGGCTTTTCTGCACTTTGATATTTGCAGCATGACTATGATCTGGCACATGGTGATCACATGACCCCATCATGTGCGGCAGAGCAACACAAACACACACAAACACACACACACACACACAACTTGTTTTAAAGCCGACACGATGCTTTTTCAGTGTTTTTCTTTCCTCCAGTGTGTATGTGGGATTTTTGTGAATGTATAAGTTCATTTTCTTCACCAATGCCTCTCAATTGACTCTGTAATCATTTCCTTGTCATGACACTGAGATTATTTCCCTTATAAAACTGATGAATATGTAATCGTTATAAGCAAACATATTGATTCAGCCTCTCCCTTGTCTCTGTCCATCTGTCCATCGGTCCATCTGTCCACAGGTATAATGACTGGTTGCTTCTACTCCGTCTCAACTCTTCTCAACCAGATGATCATGACCTACTACGAGGTAAAAGACCACCAGCAGGAAGTTGAGGTTTTACTTCACAACTTTTTCTCACACATTGGGAGGGACACGTACTTCAGACATTACATTTTCACCCTGTGTCGATGCGATGCACTCGTTCAGGTTTAAATAAACATTCGATGGAAAGTGGACGGAGGAAAAGAGGGAGCGAGAGGCAGATACAGAAAAGAACAGAGGAGCTTCTGACGGCTTCGATGAGACACAAGTTTATTGTCTGTGGCTCCGAGTTCATTAGCTGCTTTCACGCATGCCTGCTGCCCACCATACCACTGTCAGTGTGCACACACACACACACAGTCACACGTGCACGCACGCTCAAGAAAACAATGAAGAGAGAGAGACTCTAAAACACACACAAACACACACAACAACCCTCGCCCTTAACATAGTTACAGAACATGTGACATTTTATAAAAAACACCTGTAAGGTGAAACCCACGTGTTTCTGCGGAGATTTGATCCGTTGAAGGACGACAGAAGCCCTTTGTTCTCATAAAACCTCTCCTCCTTTCCTTTCCTTTCCTGTCCTCTGGTTTCCTCTCCTCAGAACCAGGAGTTGAACGCTGGGAGGATTGGTTTGACTCTGGTCGTTGCGGGGATGGTCGGATCCATCCTCTGTGGCCTGTGGCTGGACCACACAAAGACGTACAAGTAGGAAACACACACACACACAAACACACACACACACACAGACACACACTCTTCCCACTTGCTCATTTGAGGAGATAATGTCTTTGTCGTGTCCACAGGAGCTTCAGTGTTTTCAAACATGAGATGAACAAAACACTTGGAGACGTTATTTAAAACTTTGTCCAACAGTGTTTTCTCAGATCTGTCTCTTGTGTCTGAAGCTCCTGTGAGAACAAAACAAAAATCCTTCAAGTCAAGATGAACTCTTGTCTCTGAGCTGATGATGAGACCAGGTTTGCAAACAAAGCTTTGGTTTAATGCATCTCCAAAGTTCCTGTCAGTTCACAGTTGACCTGTAGCGACGATGACAGAGATAATATCACCTCTGAGCGGAGACTGATTATCACTGATCCACTGACTGACGGCTGTTTTCCAGGATGACGACTCTGATCGTGTACATCCTGTCCTTTCTGGGCATGGTGGTCTTCACCTTCACTCTGGACCTCAACAGCATCTACCTGGTCTTCTTCACAGCTGGAGTCCTGGGGTATGACGAGCCTCATTCACTGAACCAGTGCAAACATTTACCGTGTGTTCGTTCACGCACACTGTTTGAATTTTCACACTTCTGACAAAACCCATACATTCAGTCAAGCTGCACCAAATTACAGACACTCATGAATATCAGTCCCTGAAACATTTCATCAAGATCCATGAATTATTCTCTGAGAATCAACAAAAGTCTAAACACACAAACAAATGGACAGAGGTGTAAAACATCACCTCTGCAGTAATAACATGAAAAGTCCAGACAATTTAAACTGCAACACTTCAGTCCTCAGGTGTGTTGTGGGTAAACTCAGCTTATTTACAGTTAGGGTGCGTTCACTCTGTGTCAACATCAAACTGCTGCTTCTCTGCTTCCTTCAAGGCTGCACATATTTTACAGTTTAATCATAAACTTGATTATAAATGAAAGAAAACACAAATATAACTATATGTTTTTTTACATTAAAGTAAAGTATTAACATAAATGCAGTGGTTATTCTGTAAAATAAAACCTTTGGGTTCTGATGCCGATATGTCTGTGAAAGAATCAAGATTTCCACCAACAATAAACCATTGTTTTCGTTCAGCTGCTGAAACGAGATCGCGTGTCGTTGTTCTCCCCGCCCACGTCCTCAGTGTCATCCTGCAGGTTTGGCGATGCAGTGTTGAAAACAAATAACGGCGAAGAGGGCGTGAGCTCTTTGTTTTGTGTTAAACATGAGATATGAAGCAGGTCCTGTGACCTCTAAACCCTGAGGGTCCAGGACTGAAGCTGCTACTTTTGCACTAGTTCAAATTAAAATGTGAATAAGAACTGAACATGGAAGATGAAACCGCTTCTGTCCCATCTCATCTGTGTGACGTCTGCGTTTCAGCTTCTTCATGACGGGTTACCTTCCTCTGGGCTTCGAGTTCGGAGTGGAGATCACGTACCCGGAGCCTGAGGGGACATCGTCAGGACTCCTCAACGCTTTCGCTCAGGTGAGGCGACATCATCGATAAATGATGGAGGAAGTCTGATACCGATGATGTTCTACTTCTGAGGTGCTCAACTGCTCGGCAAGTCTCTAATGTGTGTGTGTGTGTGTCTGTCTGTGTGTGTGTGTGTGTGTGTGTGTGTGTGTGTGTGTGTCTGCAGATATTTGGGATCATTTTCACTTTGATTCAGGGAAAACTGACCACAGATTACAATCCACTGGCTGGAAACCTCTTCCTCTGCTCTTGGATCCTTCTTGGAATACTGCTAACCGGTAGGCTGTGTGTGTCTGTGTGTGTGTGTGTGTGTGTGTGTGTGTGTATCTAACCAAATACTAGAAGTGTAATATTTCCTCGCTTGACTCGTTTCAGCCTTGATCAAGTCAGAACTGAAAAGACACAATGTCAACATGGGTGCAGACTGCAAACACCTACAAGCAGTAAGTTCTCTGGCAGCATGTGTGGTTCTCTATGTCCCTGTGTCTCTGAGGAGTCTCTGTTGGAGGACAGCTTCCCCTGACGTGACCTTATCACGACACATTCTTGGACCTTTCTCTACTTTCCCTGTTTGCTTGGATGCTTATTTTTGTCTCCCCCTGAACAAAGCTGTTAAAACCAGCCTCCACTTAAATTCAACCTTTCCACCAACTGACTCCCTCCAGTGATTTCTGAAGCTGCCCCGCAAAGCACGCTTCAGACGAGCCAAGCCGTTAAATCTTGTCCAGTGCTCTTCAATCAGTCTTTTGTGCCGTCCTCCCACCGACCTGCTGAGTCACAGCTGAAGTGCCCTTCATCACACTCATCCTCTTCCTCCTCCTCAAGCGAGTTGAAGTAGAGTAGAGCTGAACCGTAGATCTGTTAGAAAGACTCGGAGGTTATTACACTCAGGTCGCTCAGGTTAGAAAGAAAAGGCCACTTTATGAAAGATCCATGAAACATCATCATTCACTTGATAAATATTCCTTCACACCTGTCGCACTCTTAGCTCATTAGAAGCTCATTTAGCTTCTGTACATCTATTATAACATTTCTTTCCCTCTCCTAGGTCCCTGAGGAGTCTCCCGAGGAGCGAACTATACTCGACAACAAAACCAACGGAGTCAGTCTGGCGTCCTCCCTCAGCTTCTCCCATGAAACCTCAGTGTGACGCTGCCAAGCCCCTGAATCGCTGGACGGACACGGAGGTGTCCCCGCCGCCCTGGGATACGTGTCGGCTCCCACACACCTGAAGGTGAACTTATTAATTGCTGAGCATAATTTCCTTGATATTTGGAAAAGTGAAAGATGTGAGTCAAGCACAAGCACAGACACAAACTAACCTGGATCCAGGCCGAGCGGGGGGGGGGGGGGGGGGGGGGGGGGGCTGACTAACCAGAGGGAGTTAGTGAAACCCTCCGCCCAAACATTGCCCCTCTGTGGAGGGATCCACGACCCTCATGCCCCCCCGTCCCCGGCGGAGTGAGAGAAGCGTTAGCTCTGTGGATCTCGAGTATGCAAGCAACAGCATGCAGAAGAAGCTCCTCGCACTTTATCTGTGTTGTACTTTGTGAATGTGGCGCTTTGCAAATCTGTCTGCAGGTCACTGGGAGGAGGAAACAGTGAGCAGCTTTAGTTTTGTCCCGCGGCCTCTGCCAACATTTCCTGATTTTACTTGAATCATCTACTGATGCTCTGGACTGCGGTTGTGAGACGCACTGTCGATGTCGTGACATCATCGTTTCTTTCCCCTCGTGTGACGGTGGTTGTGTCGGGGATCCCACGTGAACTTTGATCACGTCTGCTTTGTTTTGAAGCTGCTTCAGGCGGACAGTCGATCTTCTAATGTCCGCTGAAGGTTGAACTAAGTTTGGATTCAGATTTCAGGAGCGAGTGTCCCTGAGCTTTTTTTCTCTTCATCTACTCGTCATCACACCGTGAACGAGGGAATGGAGGGAAGATGGAGGAGGTTAGAAACCTGAGCCCTAAAACACAAAATTTAAAGTCTCCTTAAAATGATTCATAAACTAGGAAGTCACTCAGGACATTCTCTCGAGTTTTTGCTCGAGGGCCGACATGAAAAAGTCCACAGCCACTGACTCGGACATCTGCGTCCTCACATTCTGCCCCTCGGTGGAAAATCGTTCTCATTGGTTTTTGTGCAATCCTGCCGACAAACACGGAAACCAACCAATAAACCGGCAAACGGACATTTGCTAAACTCTGCCTCCTTGGCTGAGGTCGTTAATTAACCCTCTAAAGTCCTTCATAATTTATTTGTTGACAGATTTTCATCAACACAAAGTCGTCACAGCGAAGAGCTCAGTGACACCGCGAAGGAGAACGACCGACATGATGTGACGAATGTGACATAAGAAGACGATTGTACTGGGTTGTGATATTTTCGATGAACATGCTGCAGCGCTTGTCGCTCCACGCGCCGCGGTGGACCACACACAATGTGAACGCGTCCCGAGTTCAGCCCACAACGAGAAAATAAACGCACAACTTCCAGTTTTAACTCCTTTTAATGCACAATCTCAAACGTCGACTCCTGTTCCTGGAGGCTGAGAATCTGCAGGTGACAGAAGTGGAGGTAGAAGAACGGCGCCATCGTGTGGGTTAGTCGCGACACAGCAGCAGAAACAGACAGGGGAAGCACAAACGTGTGACAAGAGGAAAACCATCTTTTATATTTACACAACCTTCACTTTCCATTTGTAAAACAAAGTGGTATATATTACTTTTGCTTGTACAGTTTGAGAACATCAAACTAACCTATGGTAGAATATAATTAACTGTACTGAAATGTTCTGTTTGATACTTTGACTAGTTTTTGATTCTTTCTAATACTTTAGTTCTTTTATTTCAGTTTAAACTTTGAATGCAGGACAGAGAATAGTTTCGCTATTTTGACTTCAAGTGTCAGGAAATGACGTGAGACACTCTCACGGTGATTCTGGTTCAGGAGCATGAGGTTATTGATTGTCAAGATTAAAACACGTCACCATATCTTTAACATGAAGAGATCTGATAACGTCTCTGGTCTCTCACATGTCTGAGAATAGCAGAAAGGTTTTTCACTCAGAACAAACTCTGCATGTAAATATTTCTTCTGTTCCGTTTCAACACAGTTTGTGTTAATGATTTTTTTCTGCTCTGTAGATTCTGGTGGACGAGGATCTGACATTTCTTTGTCTATGTCATTTTTTTTATAACACGTGTTTGTAAAATGTTCTTTTTATTTTTTGGTCAAGTTTAGCTATTTATGAACCTGTGAATAAACCGTAGCAAGAAGCACTGAGATTCTCTGGTCTGATGCGTGACAAATGTTTTGGTGTTTGTGTTTATAAAAGTGTTCAGGCTCATGTTTGGATCGGATTGCCTCCGTCCGTTATTCCACGTTTTTTCCATACGACTAAAACTAGAAGGAGATGTGGTGAAGTGGTTCTGTGACCGCTGCTGAGACAATTCATGAAATTGTGCATTTGTTGGGGACTTTTAATCATTTCCGGCAGCAGGATGATAAATGTGACGGTAAGTGTTTCTGTGGTTTCTCGACAATGAATACACAGGTGATGATTTAGATACGCACACAATAGGGCCTTTTTTTTTTATCCAGGATATTCACTGATCCAAACCTGCAGTGCAGATACTTGAATTTAAAATAACGATAACTTTATTTATATACAGCATCTTTCCAAACATCCGTCACAAAGTGGTCGACAAATGAAAACCAGAATTTAAAAGAACAACGAGGACATTTTGCAGCAGGTCAGATAAAACAACATCATTTAAAAGATACGGTAAAAAAAAAATCTATATAGAGAGAGACTGGAACAATTTAAACCTCCAGGAATGAAGCCGCCTCTTCACTGGTCTGATATTTTTGACCGGCTGCGTGATGACAGAAGCTATGACACAAAGAAACTCAACCACAGAGAGGAAATGTCATCAACACACAGTTTTAGTTTTTGTGCCAAAGACAATAACGTAAGACAGAGAATGGCTCCACTTCTGTTTCTCCTCATTTTATTACCGCAAATTGAAGGTATTGTAGTTTTAAAGAATGTCATTTTAATTATTATTATATCGGGGGGTTCATCTGAAAAGCTTTTTTCAGATGAACAACATCTGTATCAGTGGTTTTCTGCTTCCTGTTGCTCGGCTGTAGTTGAAAATATAATGCATGTGACATGTTTTTTAAGTTTTCGTCAGGAACCAGGCAGAGGAAACACCATATTTATTTTTTACAAAGGAGTAAAATATGTTTCGAACGATGTGTGAGTGGTTTCAAGAAAAAATCCAACATTTTCCAAATAGCAATACAATTGGATTCCTTTTATTGTGA